TCACGCACAAACACCGTAACGTCACGCACAAACACCGTAACGTCACGCACAAACACTGTAACATCATATAATCAGGATAACCAGGAAACACTTGAAAATAGTTGCAATAAAGTCAGTTTGGTCAAAACTGTACAATTCATGCCAAACAGCTCATTGTGGACAGTGGAAGATATGATCAATCTAAAAAAATTCATTTAAGACTTAATATAAGTTTTTTTTTAAAGTCAACAATACAATGACAGCAACTACTGATAAATAAAACATAGTATTTCACTTTTAATATGAGGTTTATAGTGAAGCTGCTTTTTTGTTATTCTGGACCAAAGAAACTCTGCTTTTATGTAAAAACCTATAAAGAGTATGATGATGTAAGTTACTTTGTTAATGGTATTCTTTTAAATGTTCTTCCAGAAATTAAATGTTTATTTTCTTTTCTGTTTGTATCAAAATGACTTTTTAAATAAAGTTTATTCTATTACTTGTCATTATTCTCAGTAGTGTTCTCAGAGTTATTCTAATAAAAACAGCAGTTAATGATACAACATTCGTTAAGATGCAAAACATTGAACCGGTTTCACCAAATGATTTCTGTCTTCTGTGTTTTCTGCGTCTCATCTGTTTAAAAGCAGTAAAGTGTGTTTGCGCCATCACTTCACTAAGCAACATGCGTCAAACACGAGTCCTTCAACGCGTCCTTTACAGATGTTAATAACAGGAATAGAAGAACTGTACCTGCTCAGTGCGCTCTGCTGCGGGGGAAGTCTCAACTCTCCGGCGGTCAGGACGCGGAATGAAGCGCAAGTCAAGGAACGAGGAAACGGGCGGTGTGTGTGTGCGTGTGTGTGTGCGTGTGTGTTGTCAGCCTCTCCTAGTTCCTCTGAAAGCTCAGTGTGTGGTAGAGAGCAGCAAATATGTGCGCGTGTGTTTACGCGCTGGGTCGAGAGGAGTGCGCCAGGTGAAATTTAGTGCAAAACTCCAAAAACTTCTGCGGGTTTATTTACCGGATGTGTTGTTCCAAAATATAAAAACAATCAAAAGGCTTCACAGTTTGTCTGGTTGCATCACTGCAGTGGAGAGCTGATCTGGATCTCTGGGTTGTTGTTTATTCAAACAAACCCAACCCATGTTGCTCAATCCGCCTCAGAGCCCTCAGTCCCATAAACGTTTAAGTGCATCTGCTCCAATAAGAAGCTTCTTTTACCATCAAACACCTGAGAGATACAAAAGCTTTCTTCATGTCCTGAACTCTGGAACAGAGTAAGAACAGTGTATCACAGACAGCAGGGCTGTAGCAGGGTCTTAGGGGGCCAAGGGGCTACCGTTTGATTGACAGGTCGTTACCAGGCGATGTCCATTATGGGAGTTTGTCCGTGTTTTCGTCTCACTGCACTGCAACCATTCTGCAGTCTGTTTCACTTAATGGAAGTTAATTGGAACATTCTAGTTGTCTAAAAATGACGTTGAAGTTAGCTCCACCCCCTTGTGTCAGGTCTGGTGGCAAAAAACTAAGATGGCGACGTCCAAAGAGACGAACTCAAGGCTTCAAAACATCAGTCCACAAACCAATGAGTGACGTCATGGAGACAACGTCTATTCTTCCTCTGTGGAGGTTCTATCCAGAACATTTCCACCTTCTAAGGGTGCTAACGAGAGCTCTTTTATATTCCAAGGGTTTCGTCGTGAACCCACCCAGGAGGTTCTACCGAGAACCCTTTTATAGTTCAATGATGTTATCTAGAACCCTAAAGAACCGAGGCTGATGTGGTGCAGCTCAATCCTATCCTTTCAACAACTCTTGATGAACTCTTTCTTCCAAAAAGGGTTCTTTGGATGAAACTGGTTTCTAAATGGAACCCTTAGTCTCACAAAGAACCTTGAAAAAACCCTTCTCCTTAAAATAAAGGGTTCTTCAGAAGCAAATGGTTCTGGTAGAACCTCAGCCCTTCAGGAAGAACCCGTTTGGAACCCTTATCTGTAAGTGTATGACGCTGAGCTGAATGGGACGTGTCCCTCCTATGTTGACGTAAGTGAGTCTTCAGTGTAATTGGGAACAGTTCCTCAGTCTTGGGTTGGTCTCCGCTCACAGAGAACCGCACGCTGTTTCACAACATATTCACCAGAGAATTCATTATCACATTCCGCCTCCATCCATCCAGCTCTGCTTGTGTGTGTTTCTGCTTCACCGTCACCTGATTTAAAAGGTCTCTCTTTATTTTATCTGTGGTTTTCGCAGCACTCAGGCTCATTAGAGAAACAGACTGCTGGAGACGGACCGGGCACAGAGCCACATGTCAAACAGTTCAGTCTCAGCTTCTCCGGGTTCTCCAGGACGTAACTAAAACCTTTTATGAATGATTTTACATTAAAAACACACTAAATGATCCTGGAAACTCTCAGTTCTCCTCTGCAGACTTTGTCAGTATTGTGTAATAGACTTAAAAGTCAAAGTAATGCAATTAAACTGTTTTACTATTATTTCTAATGTTTCTGGATCAATATTCCTGCTGCATTAATATGTATGTTGCATTTTAACTCAATCAAATGACTGTTTGTAATGTGAAATAATGATGAACAAACCAGCTCTGCAGCTCCTTTCAGCTCTACGGAGCATTTTAGTGCTTTTCAGCTAATTCTTTGTTTGTTTTACAGCTCAAAACTTCACTGTTCTGGTTCAAAAAGCTGTTAAAAGCCATGGAACACTAGCTGCTCAGTTAGAGAACGCAGGGGAACATTTAGCAGGTAAAGAGGTGGAGACCAAACACGGAGCTAAAAGAGAGAGAATATCGGACTCCTGGTGGCCTAACGATGAATCTGTGCAGCTTTAAAGCTGCTGAAGAGACTTGATTGAAGCAATGACATTTTGGAAATTGAAGGACAAATTCTTGAAAGTAAACACTTAAGATCTACTTACTTGTTTGCGTCTTGTATCACATGTATCACACTTACAGACCTCTTGTCTGGTGAAAACAGAAGCAGGAAGTCAGGTAGCATTGTTAGAGACTGATGCAAATCAACAGGGCAGATGAAAACAAAGGATCTGTGTAGTTTAGTGCCGCTCGTTTTTATATTTACAGCAACAGCTGTGCCAGTAGGTACAATGTCTCCTGGTTGTCCATCCGACACGTATCTCAGGAACACCTGTCCACCTGGACTCAAAGAGGAAGTGAGTAGAACTTTGGTGGTCAAAAGTCACGAAACATGTTTTTTAACAACTCAAGACTTCATATATACTCACATGATGAATACTTCACAGACACCAAGTTTTCTCTGAGTGTCAACACTCAAGTTACCTTTAGGCAAGTTTAATAATATAATGCAGAAGCTGCTTGATAAGAAATGAGATGCATTCATCAGGATGCGGTGAATCTGCAGCTTTCCGGGCCGTAAAAGCCCAAAACCAGCCTCCTGCAGTTCTCCCGCCCACTCTGATAAAGAGGAGTCCGTTAACTGCTCCGTGGTCTCGGTCAGCGAGCTTCACAGCAGAAGGTTAAAGTCATAAAGAGTTGGAAAGGTCAGCGATCACACTGTCAGCTGAGCAAGAGGCTCCTCTGAGGGAGTTCATCTTGTTGGGAACTTAATGAGCTTCAGAATAAACTGCTGTCATGTGATGGACCTGAGAGAGCTCTGACTGGACTCTTATGTTGCACTGCGTGGACAGTAATATGATGTGGACACACAAGCATTAAGCACATGTGTGTATCTGAATGATGAGTTACATCTGGTTTATCTAGAGTCAGAGATCTTTAGAGTCAGCGTGTGTGATTTGGATGAAGTGGAAGGTGAGTCCTATTTTCTGTAACCATCAGAAACAGGAATGTTTTTGTCTCAAAAGATAAGAAGACACCATCCATCCATCCATCCATCCATCCATCCATCCATCCATCCATCCATCGTCATCTGCTTATCCAGAGCCGGGTCGCGGAGGTTTATGAGGGTATTCCAGACGTTCCCTCTTCCCACCAACGTTTTCCATCTCATCCTGATAAACCCTCAGGCTTCAGGCAGACCAGATATATATCTAGTCCGTCCAGCGTGTCCTGGGTCTACCCGGGGCCTCTTACCAGTGTGACGTGACTGGACAAATTCTAAAGGGAGGAAGATCCTGATCAGATGTTGAACCACCTTTCCATTTACCCTCACTGGTGAACAACACCACGAGATACTTGAACTCCCTCTTTTGAGGCAGTGACTCACTCCCAACCAGGAGACAACCTCCGGTTCTTTAAGAGAAGTCAAAGCTTCATGTGTTAAAGCTGCATTCTCTCTAGTGTCCATCAGGGGGCGACTCCTCTGGTTGTATAGAAGTCTATGAGAAAATGACTCTACTTCTCTCTTGATTTATTACCTCAGTAAACATTGTAAACATGAGTTTATGGTCTCAATCTCTAGTTTCAAGTCTTCTTCAATACAGCATGATGTTCATTTAGTACATTATGGTCCATTTAGAGTCAAACAGACCATAAAGCAGGGGATGCTTTAGGGCGGGGCTACATGGTGATTGACAGGTCTCTACCAGAGACGTATACGGCGTCTCTACGTCACTCCTCCTCAGTCCAGATATGCTCACTTCCTGTTCACTGGTTGCAAAACAAAGGATCTGCACTCTGGTCCTGATTCTGGGCGTCTTGTAGCTCATGCAGACTTTCCGTAGTAAAATTCACGACACAGTTTGATTCACAAAGCCACGCGCATTAATAAGAACTTCTGGTTTCAGACTTTCCATCTGATGTTGGAACTGGGCTGCAGATTTGTTTCCATTCACCACCAGAACGTTCAGGCGCTAAAACGCTGCAAAACATTTGCTGTTTCATCATCTATTGAATCTGCTCTCACAGAGTCAGGATGTTGTAATATTCTTAGACCACTTACACGACTGTTCAGGAGAAACACCGGTTGGGCTTAAAATGAGTACGTAAAGTCAGTCAAACACGTAAAACACGTCACATAAACTCGTTGTCTTTGTTGTTCGGCGTCTCACAGAAGAATCTGAATGTGAGCAGCGGAGGTGAACAGGCCGACCGTGTGCAGGCCGGGGGGACAGGGGGGTCTTTGTGCTGGTTCAGGGTGGGGTTCAGGTTTTAATGACACATATATGCCAAACACTGAGACTTTGACATGCTGCAGCCCCCCCTCGTAGTGAGCTCCATTCACAATTCATGGTTTACACATTTATTGTTCACATCTTTGATTTTTACTCTTTCCATTAAAAAAGAAAAATTTGATAGAAAAATGCATCATGCTCCTTCAATTGACTAATGAAACTACTTTTACAACAGTTATACCTTTATTTAAATTTAAAATAGTTTTGTAATTCATACATTTCAGTGTTCCAATGACTAAACACCATCACGTCTCGTTTAATGTTTTCTGTCTTCTGTTGAAAGTCAGAACGTTTCATTGAGTTCATGTTTGATCTTAAATAAGTCTGAACTCTTTAGTGTTACTCAGTAAATGATATGAGGAGTTAATAATAACACAAAGGAATCATTTTTATCTGAAAACGACTTAATGTTTATTCTATAAACGTTCCATAAGCTGCATATTTACAGGTTTGTTCTTAAAAGCTCAATTCTAATCCGTCTTTGAAGAGCTGAACAACGCAGGCTTGTGTTCATACCATCAGTATTAAATGAACTCATTTAACTCTGCAGCTCAGACCTCCTGCAGGGCCCTGGACCTGGACTTGAGTAGACCTCCTCTAAGTGGACTGAATCAGCTTCTGTTCCGAGTCCGAACAGAAGCTGCTTTCTGAGTTCACACCAACGCACACTCACATGTGGCGTCCTCAGAAGAAGCTGCGTCTGTGCAGCCGGCTGACAACGTAAACACACTCTCCTCTCATCACCCCCCCCCCATCGTTCACCTCGGCAACAAGACGTGAGTTCAAGGCGTCTGTCTGAAGGACAGCAGCAGCTCGTCTTCAACACACTTCCAGACTGAAATCTGGTTCAGATGAGACCTCGTGCAGCACGTTGTCTTCCTCATGAATCATTGTCTTCCTCGTTTGCATCTTTACACTGAGCGACGCACACATTTAACACTTTGACGTAAATTATTTGTTATTTCAGACTTGATTCAGAAACTGAACAGTAACTTTCCTTAAAACAAGATACTGCAGAAATACACGTTATGTTTATTTCACTACTTTGTCTGTTGCCGTCTGTAGATTTGTCCTAAATTCACAAAACGTTACGCAAAATGACCACAAAGACACACAACGTGTATTTCTGTCTCCTAATGAGAGACAAAACAAATACAAAGAGACAGGAAGTGACGACAAATAAGCAGAGAAATCAGCCAAAAGATACATGAAACAACCACAAAGATGTATGCAAAGAACGGACCAGAACTATACAAATTGACATCAAATGACCAGAAAGAGACACAAACCTATAACAAAGAGTCTGAACAGCTAAACTCTGTGTCTATGTAGAGGTGTGAGGCCTTTTGGGGCCCGTTGTCTCATAATCCTTGAGAAGAAATAATCCACATTAATAAACTCTGTGGATTATTTGTCTGCATCTGAACGTCATTTATTTTCAAAGTTGTAAATTTAGAGAGAACTCTGAGAGACAGACGTCTCAACATCTGGAGAAATAAAAGCACCTGTTCTCATCTCACAACACTGTACAGACTGATTCTATCTGAGCCTCTTCAGCTCTTCTTTTAGCAGCTATAGCTTCTAGTACACGTGAGGGAGATCCTCTTCGTCCTCTTCGTCACCGTGTGACTGAATATTGTCATTTTGGTCATTTGGGATTTACAGATGTATTAATTCAGGATTTGTTTCTTTTTGTTTTATTGGTGGTTGAAGATGGAGAGCAGCAGAGAAGATGAAACGTTAAATAAGGTGACGTCATCATTGAGTTTTGTTGTGCGTATTTAGGAATGACTAGAGAGAGAGAGGGCGAGTGGAGGAGGACGAGCTCCTGTGACTCTCGGCCTCTATCATCAGCGACCACATGTGAGACAGGAGACGCTCTGAGATAAGCACAGATCCTGGACTTTACTTCACTGTCACTGCTGCTGAGAACGCTCTGTGGGAAACACACGATAAGTGGTGAAGAGGATGTCGTGGGTCAACAAGGGAGGAAGAGTCTGAAGAGTTGATGTGGACAGGAAGGCTTAGACAACAAATGGTTTTCAGATATATATTGCAGTCATCTAACGGAGGATCTTTCCACAGGAAGTGTGAGGAAACACTGACGTCAGAATTCACACATTTGATATTATGAGAGTGGCACTAAATACGAGAAAGACAAAGGAACAACATGCAGTATTCATTTTCATTTTTTTAAATGTTTTTTAATCTGCTGCTAACAATTATCGTCATTATTGTCAATAATTTTCTCCCCTCTTTCTCCCCATCTATCTCCTCATCTATCTGCCTCTATCGCCCCCACTTCTATCTCCCCCTCTACACTGTAGTATTACTACTTTTTATCTGAGTACTCTTAATAGTAATAATTAACCTCTGAATGATGTGAGACTAAACTACCTCCACCAGGTGGCAGTAGCTCAACACTAAGGATTCAATCTGCCTTTAATCGTAGCAAAGAAGAAGAAGAGGAACGAACAGCTCTGATGCGAACCAATCACAGATCACCATACGGCTGCCTAGTGACCAGCGACCAATAGGAAGCTTCTCCCAGAGCGCGGCGTTGTAGTCAGTGATCTCCGTGTTTATCGATAATAACGTGTTGTTTTATCGCTTTAACGTTTTTTAATCCTCCCAAAATGAGTCTGTCCTTAAGGTAAACCTCTCTGTCTCCGCTGCTACTCTTCATTTATTCAACACAGTTCATTTTAACGCGGCAAAGCGTAGCTCCAAGACGTCAGCTAGCGTTAGCATGTTTAGCTTTCCTCCTCCGTGTTAACGGTATGTGATGCTAGCTAGCTAGCTAGCTGCTCCTGTAGCTTCCTTATTTTCCTCCTCACTGTTTTATTAACTGTCACATTTAGAGCTTGTTGGAATTACAAGTGGTGGAAAGTACATTTACTTTAGTACTTAATATACATTTTACTGATACATACTTTTACTTAAGAATAGGTTTTGAATGCTGGACTTTTACTTGTAGTGGAGTATTTTCAGTGTGGTACTACTACTTCTGCCTCTTTCTCCCTCTCTCCCTCTATCTCCCTCGTTCTCCCCCTACATCTGCCTCTTTCTCCCCCTACATCTGCCTCTTTCTCCCCCTACATCTGCCTCTTTCTCCCCCTACATCTGCCTCTTTCTCCCCCTACATCTGCCTCGTTCTCCCCCTACATCTGCCTCTTTCTCCCCCTATATCTCCCTCGTTCTCCCCCTACATCTGCCTCTTTCTCTCCCTCTTTCTCCCCCTATATCTCCCTCTTTCTCCCCCTATATCTCCCTCGTTATCTGCCTTGCTGTGATTTCGGTGTACAAAAATGTGTGAAACTAGAGGATTATTTTCATGAAAAGGTAACTTATTGACAGGAGTAGTAGTAGTACTAGTATTAGTATTCAGGCAGACATATACACTATAAAACCAAACAACTTCACAGTACTCAAAATGTTTGAGTAAACTGATTACCTCAGAATATTTAAGTAATGGCAATATTTCTTTAAAGTAAATATTAAGTTAAATATTATATATTCAGTTAACTTCATTTGTTTAAGTTCTCTATTTGTGTAAACACAATAGTTTGTTGTATCGCAGCGATCTTAAAAACACGTAAATACTATGGAGGCTCCATCTGTGGTATCAGCTGCTATAAGTATTTGTTAAAGTATAATACAAACGTGTGAAGCAGAAATATATTTATAGATTTCTCACAGAATTTGGTGAAACTCTGTCGTCTGTGTTTTTTCCAGAACTGAACTTCCTGCCGACAAAACGAAGCGCAAGAAGAGGAGAGAGCTGAGCGAGGATCAGAGACATGAGATCAAAGAAGCCTTCGAGCTGTTCGACACCGACAAAGATCAAGAGATCGATTACCACGAGCTGAAGGTGAGTCACGAGGGACGGCAACAGAGCAACACCTCTACCAAATACTAACGTCAACGTAACAAAGGATGCACTTTAAACTAGTGTACGTACACGTGTGCAACGTGGATGTAATTACAAGTTACAGAGAAGATGATGAATTGTATATTTTTGTATTCTCCTGTGTGAATTAAGTATCTAACAAATTAAAAGTACTTTATTAAATTAAAATGTTAAATATTTATAAAATACATAAATATTTCCAGTATTTCACTGTTTATATGTTTATATGAGTTATCAGATTAAGAATAGTTTGATTTAACCACACAAGCAGAATTTTAGTTTGTTATCACTTTATGTTATTTAACACAATATGTCTAGATGTAGAGATATGATTTCATCTCGATGTGATTCCAGTGAAAGATGATAAATTATAATATTGAATTATCGCCATAAGCAGCTGATCATAAACTCATGATATAAATAACCGGGTTAATATGTGTTCCATGTAAACATGAGATCTAAACCGGGACACTAATGTTCATGTAAACATACACGATACTTACTGATTATGTTTATGATTAATGTGTTTGAATGTTCCTGAGCAGGTGGCGATGCGTGCGCTCGGCTTTGAAGTGAAGAAAGTGGACGTGTTAAAGATTCTCAAAGACTACGACAGAGAGGGAAACGGAAAAATATCATTTGAGGATTTCAATGAAGTCGGTACGTTTTGTTTTTGTCTCTTCGGCTTCAACGCGACGCTCGTGAGTGAATCCTTCAAAATGTGTCGGCGTGTTTCTCCGCAGTGACCGACCGCATCCTGGAGCGAGACCCGACGGAGGAGATCACGAAGGCCTTCAAGCTGTTCGACGACGACGAGTCCGGAAAGATCAGCCTGAGGAACCTGAGACGAGTCGCTCGAGAACTCGGAGAGAACGTCAGCGACGAGGAGCTGCGCAGCATGATCGACGAGTTCGACGCCGACGGAGACGGAGAAAGTGAGTAGATGGGTACAGAGTAACCGCGTTGTATTAGTACTACGAGTAGTACACTGTATCGAGGAAGTGGAAGTAGTCGTGGTGGTTTTGAAGCCTCGAATTCGGCGTTTTGGCCATCGCCATGTTGTTGTATTCTGCAACCAGTAAACCGGAAGTGACCGTATCTGGACTGAGGAGGAGTGACGTAGAGACCTGTCAATCACCGTGT